GAGCAGTGAATGAGAGCCTTTCAGTTCACTTGCCATATCACTTCCATTTGTTTTAGTAATAACAGATATTGGAAGTAAATTCATTATAGATCATTACATATATATATATATATATATATATATATATATATGTATATATATATATAGTATAGAAAAAAAGATGCATCAAGATGCATCGATAATTGTTTTATAATTACATCGTAGCCCTCTGAACCGTAATCAAATCGAAACGTGAGGTGCCTAGAGATTCCCACCCCTAATGGTTATTATTCAGAAAGTATTAGTTGTGCACCATTTCTCGAACATGCTGAAAATGTGAAAAGTGTATATATAAAACTAAAGATGCTGTATGTCCTTGTTATGTTGGAGGGGTTGGAAGAGGTGTAATCTAAACTGATTGCTTCTGTCGGGAACTCAGCTACATATAAAAGTGTGTCTGTTCTTTCGGCTTGGCTTTCATGTGGTTTTCTTTCACAAGAACATCTCCCCGGAGCTTGTCTTTCATAAACTTTTTTCCTCTCTCTTCTCTTCCCCTAATTCATTATGAAATAAAACTACTCTCTTGGCAATGCTTTTACAAGATCACCAAACATCATCTGTCTCCTTTCTCCCCCTCTCTTTTACTGCGGAGGCACAGTACAAGGCGTAGATTATTACAGTAACATATTCCTTTTTTATCCAAGAGAAAAACAACCTGGAGATAGACGCGGGCCCTAGAATTATCTTTCTTTTACCCCTAAACATGTCCTACTGATTGCTTGAGTTGTTCTGACAGCTGAATGTGCCTTTTCTAAACACTGGCAGATGAATGTTTTTATTTGAATGAAAGAGAAAAAAAAACTTTTGAGACATTAGATTAAAGATTGAAGAGCACGGACCCACCCAGGTGGAGTTTTCAGCAGCCAAAAGACATTTAGTCATATTACCGTAAAACAATAATGGCCATTGTAAAATACTGTTTAGATGTCTGGGAAATCTACTCCAAGAAACATCATAAACTTAAGACTATAAATCACAAACATCAAATAATTTAGAAACATGTCTCACAACCGCTAAAATAAACAAAGCTCAAGAGACAAGTAGTTACTAGACAGTGTGCTGAATACACACTGCTAAGCACTGAATAAACTTGTTTTTCTAGATATATGGCAATTAAATCAAACATAAGGCCTGTAATTCAACTAGAATAGTTGAGTTTGGTTGTTAGCTGTTTAACGACCATGACCACTGAGACTGGACTACTTCCCATTCCTAAATCAGACTGCTCACTGCTAAAAGCAGATCTAGAATCACAGACCCTAAAACAATGAAACTCTATGGACCATGGAAAACTATGAAAGTCCACTCTACAATCTATTCCAAGTCCAGTTTAAAATTTTCCTCTTTTCTCAATACTTTCATTAGCCGCCTCACTTCTATGAAAGCCTATTCCCACTAGGTAGATGAGCAAAATAGTTTCAAAATTTTCACTTTTTGGGAAATTATTTTAAAAAGTCATTTTTTTTTACATTATGCATGTACTATTAAAATTCTGAGAATATTATTTTTATACTTGGCAAGTCAGGCATCCAAATAAGAATGTAGTACCAACAATCAAGTACAAGAGGAAGAGAGCACAGTCTCACACATAGAAGAATTAAAGACAAATTAGAGAACATAAAAACAGGAAAAATGAGAAGAAAAAAGACAGTTACAAGATTCAAGTAGCAGATGGTTGGTTAACTGTCAGCAGACACTTTTTCCTTCTGTGTGTATGTGTGTGTCCAGTGTCATTGCCAGGTCTCAGTTCTGCTCCAGTCTTCATAATAGTGCGTGATTGATTGGACTTATCTTTAAGCGTTTATAGCCTTTTCCTCAGAGGATGATATTTCAATAGACTGCTGTGTGTGTGTGTGTGTTTGTGCATGCATGTGTGTATGTGTGTGTGTGTGTTTTGGCGGTAAATGTTTAGCTAAGCAGCAGAAAGGAGGAAGGGAGGGGTGTAGGAGAGGAGCAGAAAGGATGATGAGAAGGAGTGAGAGAGAAAGAGAGAAAGAGAGAGAGAGAGAGTAAAAGGGTGAGGAAAAGCTATCTAAGGACAAGTATTTGAGTTTCATTGGTCACTTGAAAATTCCTTCTGCCATCTCAGGACGTTAGAGGACAGCAAGTTTAATTGTGTGTGTACGTGTGTGTGTGTCTGTGTTTGTTTTAATGCATTACAAAAATGTACTGATTTTGTAGGAAAACCACAGAAAATAGGAGAAACCTACAACAAAATGATCCTGAGTTTCTAATGTACATTTTACAGCTAAATGTTTAATTTTTTAAAGTTCAAAGAGCAAAACCAAGAACCGAAATGAGTGTTTTCTATACACTGATTAGGCCTGTGCCCAGTGACAATTAACTGAGTTACTAAAGTTACAACCAGTGACTGTAAAGTGATTGTAAAACTCATTTACTACCAGTAACGCGCTTGTTGCTAGAGGCAAAAGCTGTATATGCTATAGTGTACATTTTATGACATCCTCAGACCACAGCATTAGGTTTCAGACATCAGACAAAAACCCCTTCATGTCATGTTTTCATACATCAGGTGAAACTGGCTGTTTAAAACAGCCTCAGGCAAACTGGCTTCAGAGACGAATGCATCAGACTAAGCTAAGCAGCTTTAGACAGTAAGGTTTGCATGACATTCACACAGCTTTTACTGAACAGCGACAAAACATAACTGGGACATGTATGACCATGTACGAATACATGAACATGTCCTGACCTTACATAAAAACAAGGATATGTGTATGCCTATTCAGATGTATTAACCCTTGTTTGTAAACACTCATCAAGCACTTTTTTTGGGAATACCTGTATACCTACTCATGCACACAGTTATCTAATTAGTCCATCGAGTTGCAGCAGTGCAGCGCATAAAATGATGTACATATGTGCCAGCAGCTTTAGGTGATCATCAACCATCAAAATGGGGAAAAATGTGATCTCAGTTATTTCAACCGTGGCATGATTGTTGGTGCCAGACAGGCAAGTTTGAGTATTTCTATAACTGCTGATCTCCTGGGATTTTCATGCAAAACAGTCTCTAGAGTTTACTCAGAATGGCACAATAAAGAAAAAACATCTAGTGAGCAGCAGATCTGCAGACAAAATGTCTTGATGAGAAAGGTTACTGGAGAATGGCCAGACTGGTTCAAGCTACACAGAAAAACTATGGTAACTCAGATAACCACTCTGTACAACAGGGGTGAGCAGAAAACCATCTTAGAATGCACAGCATGTTGCACCTTGAGGTGAAGCTCAGAGGGTTCTATTTTTGTCAGCCAAGAACAGAAACCTGAGGCTGTGGTGGGCACAGGCATACCAAAAGTAGATATCTGAAATACTAATCAATAGTTAGTTAATACTAATCAATCATTGCTTGAATGGCACAGCCTATTTGAGTATGGTTGTTGACCATATGCATCCCTTCATGGTTATAATTTACCTATCTTCTAATGGCTACATCTAGCATGATAATGCACCATGTCACAAAGCAAAAATCGTCTCAAACTGGCTTCATGAACGTGACAATGAGTTTATTCAGTGTTCTTCAGTGGCCTTCCCAGTCACTGGATCTGAATCCAACAGAACACCTTTGGGACACGGTAGAACGGAAGATACGCAGCATGAAAGTGAAGCTGAGAAATCTTCAGGAATTGCATGATGCAATTATGTCAACATGGACATGACTGCCCTACCTAGTATTAGTTTGGTATTCCTAATAAAGTGCTCAGTGAGTGTTTATACAGTATATTATCATACACAAAAAAAAAATCAAACACAACACTTTTTACTGAAAGGATTTTACTGAAACGCTGTAAAAAACAGGGCAAGCAATGAAACAGAATTCTCACATTAGTATCTGGCGTAACCACAAAAAAAAACGCATTTTCTAACTGCTGCAAAATTGGAGCAAAAACAAGTGTTGCATTTATATTTTTGTTCAGCGTTTACTTTGTATTCACATAATCCAGCCACTCAGATGCATGCACACACTTCTCTAGGCATTCTGACCCCCAACAGCAGTAGCTTCCACAAATAACGGACTGAAAACCTCAGAGAAAACATCAACCACAAGCTGACCACAACCCATCCACTTCATACTTAGTTTACACTGGCCATTACACATAAAGTGTTTTATATACTAAATCAGTTTCGACATGCAAGACTAGACGATGACTCTCTTAAACAAAATGTTCAGACAGGATTTTAAGCATAAGATGCACCATCAAGAGGGTATGGTGGACTGAGGTAGCAGTCTCGATGTGTGTTCGTGCGTGCAGTTTAATTTACAGACAGATAATTTGTGGCATTACAGTCCAACAGCATTACTGTATAACAAACATACTCAAGTATTTTCCAGGCTTACTTGAGCTTTTATGACGCAAGTAAACCGAAGAAGATTCATCTTAGCAGCGACTTCCCCCCAGAACCACAGACGGATACACATTACAAAGTATATACACAGATTAAGTACTGTGTGGGAGCATGTCAAAATCCTACCATAGCCCTGTGTTGAAGTACAATGCTAAGCTACCACTAAGCACACAACCACATGGGAAATAATCTAGTGAGATGGCAAACCAGGCTTGGTTGCATATGCTCCTAACATGATGACTCAAGATAAGAATCATATTGTCGCTGTCAAATCCATGTGACTGTTGAATGCCTTCCATTGGTTCTTAACTACATACTTTATGGACAAAGCCTGCAACACAATCCTCTCAAGTAACTGAGCATATGAGCCTCTTAGTCTATGGTCTTAAAACCGATGTTCCCTTCTTCCACCATTTCCACAAACGTAGGCTGGGTGACAGCCCCTGTGTGCCACACGGCTTCACGTTTCTGTGATAATCATCAAAAAGACTTGAATTCCAAAACAGCCCCTGCTATGTTTATTTGCACAGCAGGGCTATCGCTGCCCCACATCGGAGGCATCCGACAGCCCGGAGCGTGGTGGCTCTACCCACCTTCTGCAGCTGGCTCTCTAGCCTGCTGCACTCCTCTGCTCGCTGCTCCACATTGCTCTCCAGAGCTCGCAGCCTTGAGTCCTTCTGAAGGCCTGAAGAGGCCAGAGATGACACCTGCTCTTTCAGTTCCAGTAAAGAAGACTGTCAGGAGAGGGAAGAGCGAGGAGAGACAGATCAGAAAGAGAAGAACAGAGGGAGGTTTAGGAGGGTCCCCCCCATCATGCAGCCTCCGTCCTTAAACAGGACAAAGGGTATGGTGGATGATGAACCATTTAGCTACACCAAAGGTATCAGCCACAGACCCTGTGGGAGGAGCCTATTCAAAAGAGAAAGTGCTAGTGAGGTAGCTCACATTACCTTAAGGTTAAAGTTTGTTGCCACAAATAACATGTTTAAGAAGGTGTGATAAATGTATCATTCTTTCTGTGTGTTAGCTTGTTTACCAGCCAGTGTGGTTGGGGGTGAAGCTAACCGTATTCCTAACCCTAAGCCTTTTATTTTGAAATATTTACACCAGCTAACATGGTCGGGGAAGTAACAATAACGCTAAGCATTTTATTTAACTTACCTAACATTAATGTAAGCTACCTCACCAACACTTTAGCTAGCTAAGGTATCTCACCAGTTGTATACTGAGTACTACAGCTGAATACTGCTGCCTGTCACAATCATTATATTATTATATTATTTTTGTTCTTTTGTTTTTGTCACTATTACATTACAAACTTGTAGCATCTAAATTGGCTGTTTTGCTTGTGAGCTAACACTACGTTGTACTGACATGAAATTATATAATACACTGTTCTGGGCGCACACACATTCATATCCACAATGCCACAGAATAATTAGCATGAATGCCAATGTTACCTATTTGCAAAGTGATCATTCTAAAAATAACAATCGACACCTCAACACACAATTCTAGTTTACATTCGAGTGCACTCGTTGGTTACAGTGCTATGTAAAGTTAATCTCACCTGGAAGAGCAAAGAATTAGCCAAATGTTTTGGTGGCTTCCACAAGCATTCCCAAAGACAGCAATTTTACAGAAGACAGAAAGCTGCAGCTCAAATAAACAATCTACTGCGCACTAAGTCCCTAAATTCCATGCCCTGTCTTAAACAACGTCAACCCAAACAGTGGCAAAAAAAGATATCACAAGTGGTGTCCAAAACTGGAAAATACCAACTTTGAACAGTTGTCAAAGTCAGATTTACAAGTGGAAAACTCAGGATTCTGGATGATGCAGGATAACATGAATATGAAAATATATGCATGATGTGTGTCAGCTTTTGCATAACTGAAAGAAGTGTAAACATCTCCATATGTTTTAACATAGCAAAGAAAAGCAAAATGACTTCAATGCTTTCCTTTTCCATGTTGTAAGCATATATTCTGACAATCCCCCAAATTGTTGCATTTTGAGTTAACTATCTGATATGCACTGAATTTAGATAAGCACCTGAACGCAGCAATAAACATATGATTGAACAACTTTAGAAAATAATCAGGGTCAGATCAAATAACTATAATCAGCTCAAATAATTATTCTCAGGCGATGATCTGACAATTGTGACAAGCCTAGATTCAGCCTATACTCTTCTGTCTCACCAACAAGGTAGCAGCAAGCCAGAAAACCTTTAAAGAACTGCCCATGTTTCCATTCACCTGAGAGCCACATGACTACTTTACTGGATGTCGGTGTTGCTTAGCCTACAATTTATCGTGTCACAATTCATGCCATTTTGACTTTGACAGCTTTGTATTCTTTTTATTTCAATTTACATGACTAAAAATAAAGCATATTTTTAAATGCATCTTTATTTCAACTCCTTTATACATTACACCGCCCCACAACCAGCGCAGGAGTCCCATGGTTCCAGATCAGGAGGTTTATGAGGCTGGAATGGCACCAATTATGCAGCCTAAGAATCGGCTTTTGGTGAAATGGTAACGGTGCAGAGTAGGTTGAGTTTAGGCTCTGGCTCAGGCACGAGCACTAGCACCTAGTCACTGGAAAAGGGGTAGAAGAGAACCAAGAGTGAGAAGTGGAACAGTCTGAAAGCAAGGTGAGAGCAGGGTCTACAGAGCATGCAACCAACACATTCCCCAGAATTTCATTAGAGTTCCACAGATGGGGTGAGTTTGCAGACTCAAGCTACAGCAGGTTAGGGTTGAAGGAGAACACGTTACAAGGCCAGCTGTATTGATGGGGGCTGGAAGAGGACCAAAGGCTGAAACAATGTATGCTTTGAACATACTTATATGGAGTTACAAAGTACTTAGGCTGTTCAGTTTATGTCATCTGGGTCTCTTGTGATACCTAGTCAGTGCATAAAGCGCTACTCTAATTGCACTCAAATCATAAAACCTTTATTTCTGTACACCTTTACTCAAGTAATGTAAACCTTCAACAGGCCTGCATGCTATATAAACAAAGTGATTATATTCGCACTCTTACATTGCTCAACATTTGAAGTCTGTTGATACTGTAATTAGAGCTTTAAAATGTAGAGGTTGTTTATGTGCTTTTGATTAGCACAGGGAAGGAGAGCGAGTGGGAAGTTCCTCACAACTGTATATGTGGCTCAGAGTCAACGTGCAATAAGATATAATTTTCCTGGAATGATATGTGTTCACTCCGGTGCATATAAAAGAAAACATTCTCGTAAATTTCGGCTCTCTGAAAGATTGCCCCGGCATGTTCCCTGGAACAGTGAGGAGTCTGCTCTGGCGAAAGGGGGATGAGGACAGAAGGACGGATCTATAAATTACACCTCTTTCTTTCTCTCGCTCTCTAAGAACAAAGCACATGCAATTTCTACTCAGAAGCCTGCGTGCACAGGTGGAGTTCTGAGGGTACGGGATTTACTTTTACTGTTGATGTTAACACTTTAAGTATAGGTTTACACTGAGTGTATTACAACGGTTGCTGTGCAGTTATAAAATTCTAAATTCTTCTAATTCTTTTGGCTCCATAAAAAAAAAATTATCAAGTGTGCTGGAGGTATCTGTCACTTAGAAAACCTGCGCTAAGGACTGTATGTCTATGCATAGATCAGAGCAAAGTACCAACAGATATGCATTTGTCTGGTCGGGGATTATAATTATCAAAAAATAGGTTAGCGGTACATAAAGAACTTGTTGGGAATTATGAATCGTGATAACCACTAACATTAGGGACAAACAATATTGTGGAAAAGTATAAAATATTGTACATTCATGAGATTTTTGGGATAAATATTGTGTGAAAGATTTACCCAGTAAATGGAGCTACACTATATAGTCAAAAGTAGTGGACACCTGACCATCACACCTTTATGAGCTTGGTGGACATCCCATTCCAAAGCTTTGGGCATTATTATGCAGTCCCCCACCCCACCACACCCCCTTTCAGCTATATCAGAACAACAGCATTTGTGAGGTCAGGCACTAATGTTGAATGGCCTGCAATAGACATTCTAAGCAAAAGTGTTCAGTGGACTTGAGGTCTTGGCCTTGTGGAGGCCACTGGAGTTCCTCCTGGCATCTGCCAAACCCAGATTCTTCCATCAGACAGCCAGGTAGTGAGGCATGATTCATCACTCCAGAAAACTTGTTTCCCCTGCTCCAGAGTCCAGTAGCGGCATAATTTACACCACTCCAGCCAACGCCTGGCATTGCGCGTAGTGATCTTAGGCTTGTGTGCAGCTGCTTGGCCATGGAAAGCCATTTCATGAAGCTTCCAATGCACAGATCTTGCGCTGATGTTACTGCCAGAGGCAGTCTGGAACACTACCAGCGTGAGATGTAACAGAGGATGGGTGATTTTTATGTGCTTTATGTTTCATCACTCGGCAGCCCTGCTCTGTGAGTTTGCGTGGTCTACCACAATAATAGCACTTACAGTTACAGAGGCAGATCTAGCATGGCAAAAATTTCATGAACAAAGGTGGCATATTATGACAGAGCCATGTTTAAAGTCAGGTAGATCCGAATGACCCATTCTATCGCCAATGACTAAGAAGTTGTCTAAGGAGATGTGTTTGATTTTATACACCTGTTAACAATGGATGTGGCTGAAACACTGAACCCAATAACTATAATGAGTGTCCATATACTTTTGGCCATACAGTGTAAATATCAGCCTAGCAATTGAAAGAGTGAGTTTAGAGGGAGAACTAAGGCAGTAGTTCAACATTCTGGTTAGGGCTACACAATATGTATGACATAACATTTTCGCAATTACTTCGCTATATACTCTGACCACAATATATCTTCCAATAGATTTACAACTCTTGATGTAGTTAAAGATTGGTCTTCATTGTTTTTGACCAAAATAATTTATGTTTGTTGGATTGTGCTAATGCCTTGATTCATCCAAACATCCAAAAAACATGTGATTGGTCAAGATGCTCACAGCACATAACGTTAGCTGGTTAGAAGTTCTTTTGCATATTGCATGGTTCTGCGATATCAGTACCATGAAAGCCAACGTCTTGAGAACAATTTAAAATGCCATACTGAGCAATCCTAAATAATCCGTTGAACATGAATACTCTTAGCCTCAGAAAAAAGTCCCAGAACCATCCTAGTTAATTACTGTCTTTGATAATCAACTAAAAAATCTGGCAACACAGATATTAAACCAATTTGACATTTCAACAATCATCAGGATGCTGTACATGAATGTTAATATGATGGTATTACCACTATTTTTTGATTGACAAATGTTAATTAATTAATGTTAATTTCTGTCCTAGCATGTGTTGTGTGTTTCCAGACTGGTTGGTGGAAGCATAACTAACCTGAGTGAGCCCTAGGCTAATCTCATGATCCTTAACCTGTGTGCTCTCACCACATGGACACTGACCTCTTTGTCCAAGAGCTGTGCCTGTAAGGAGGCGATTTTGTCCTTCATCTCCTTATTTTCCTTCTTATATGCCTCCACTTCCTCGTGCTTCTCTCGCTCCTCTCTCTCCCTCTGCTCCTTCAGATGCTCTATGACCCTCTCCTAAAAGTGCAAAGAGAAAAAGAGGAGAGAATGGCAAAACAGAAAGTGTAAAAAAAAAAAGAAAATCCTTTTTTTTTACTTAGCCCAGGGAAATTGTACTGCTGTCTACTAATCTCTGCTCACTTAACCACATTAATATACCCACATTTAAAGGACATGTTCCCATAGCAAACATTTGTGCTGTGATGCAGACTTGCAGCTGCCATTGCAAATACAATGCCTCTCTTCAGACACTCAGGTGTGTCTTTCTTTGCCTTAAGCTATTTCCTGTGGCAGAGGGGAAAACTCATAAATGTCTATCATAAATAAGATCCAAGCACCATAAGACACTGTCCAAGAGTCTGTGTTCCAATTGAGCAGGTGACACCACACTGAGCAGATTAACGTATTAAGATATCAAAATGCGACTGTGCATTGAGAAACATTAAGGTACAATGTTTCAAGATGATTTACCTCATTTAAATCAATGGCCAGTGTGGTTTCTTACAGCATTTATTTATTTTACCAAGAGACAGATGGCTTATGAAGCAAACCATGAATATGGTTCATCTGCCCATATGCATTGAGAATTTGAAATGAATGAAAAGAAAAGAAAGACATTATATTTACATAATCAGTAGTACAGAGTGTTTTTGCAAGCTGCAGGACAGGCCTACTAATTCAAGAATAAATGATTATGACTGGAAATGAACCTCTGTAGCCTCTAACTGGTATATGTAGCCTTTGGTAAAAGACACCCAGACAACACCGTAACAGACTCCAACACTCTTATCTGGTCCTTTATCAAACTACCAAGAAGGAAGAAAGAAATAAAGAAAGAAAGAAAGAAAGAAACAGATGAATAAAAACAAGCAAAAACAAACAAAAAGAAAGAAAAGACAACTATTCTATACGAGCATTTCTCAAGTAAGTATACTTGAACCTCTTGAACCTCAAGATCAAACTTACTAATGTAAAACAAATGGAGAGAGCAGTTCCGCAGCCTTGCTCCACTTATATCTGTTGCCATTGACTCACCTTGTTATTGCGTGAGGCTTACTTATTCAGACCACAAAAAGCCCATTTCTACATAGCTAATACCTTCAGCACACATTACAAACCTTGCAACACCAACATGACCACAATTTCCTCCCAGACTTCTATGAATATAGGCTTTACTCAAATATGGTAAGATACTGTACCGTGAGAAATTAAGATGTGATGTGACATCAGTTTTTGAAGGCTAGGAGCATGTATGCTTTTAAAACAGTAACACAATGATTCAGTTATGTTAATGAACAGAATTTTTCCAAATAACATATCGCGTAGTATCTCTCCAACATTTCTACAAAAACAATTACATGTATCTTTGAAACAGTCTGTAACTAGTGATGCCCAAAAATTCTTGAAGTGAAACTGAGGTTCAGGACACACTGTGCTGAACTGTGCATGAAATGAAACCGAAAAACAAAAAGGCTGACAATAAATAAAAAACATCAAAAAACTAAAATTATCATAGTATACACAATATAGCTGTTGTTTGGCTTTATTTTTGCAAATCAAGCAGGATGTAGTGCTTTCAAATCATATCAAACCTATAGTGGAGACGTTCTTAGGTGCTGTATTGCCTCTTGAACAGTACTTAAACAGTAATTACAAATCACTTATCTAATGTCCCTTGTAGAAAATAGCTTTACAGGACTATCATTTTCACATCTGTTGCTGCTCAAAATTTGGTAACACACCTGCACTGACTGATGCAGGAAAGCAAAGGAAACAAACATTTTAATTGCAATTTCTTATTTTCTTTACTCAGAAATAGCTAAATTGCTAAAATTATTTGTATAGTCCTACACATAATGTAAGCCTATCTAATGTTGGTTTTTTTGTTTTCTGGCCAAAATTTTAGACCTTTTCTGTTTTGGCCAAAAACCAAAAGTATCATTTTCTACCATTTTCGCCAGCCAAAATTTTGGTTCACCCTTATCTGTACCTTGAGTACCTAGATACATTTATATAAGTATATGGTCCAATTTTATGTTCTAACACCTGCTGTTACTTTACATTAGGTCCATCTGTCTGACAAAGAAATGTTAGTGTAAATCATTACTTTTGTTCAGAAGAGAGCACACAGACTGATCCTAACAAATCATTTTAATCATTCCTTGCAGTATCAAAATTTTGGGGTTTACTGTTCCTTTAAGGAGGTGAGGTCAGAAATCAGGTTGTGTGTGGCTACAAAATACCTGTGGACTTCGTGGACCCTTGCTGAGAAGCAGGATTCTACAATTCTGGCAGACAGCATAGAGTGTGAGAAATCCCCAAACGAAACAATTAAGACTGAGTTAACGACAGCCCTGTAGGTAAACAAAAATTTTACAATGCCATACGAATTCCGCTATTCGTGACTCAGATATTCCACGCCGTGAAAAGGTCGTTTGCTCATCTGACTTTCAGGAAAAGCATGTAAATATTCACCCTGATGACCATTAGCGGGCAAAGAAACAGGCTTCCTCGACCTTCCTGTGAAGTCAGCTGCTGTAGGAGACCGCAATGCTACTACAGAGTGGAAAAGTTATGGGAAGCAGCTGCACCTCTAACAACTCAAAATACTTAACGAAACAAAGGTTTACGACTAGCAGCAACCACCAATCAGCTGCCCCAAGCCAAGGGAATGAATAAGTTTACATTGAAAATGCCGTACCCAGACATGAACTCCCACTATGACAACATCAGCATTTGGAAGACTGCTTGAATCTTGGCAGCATGACTACTAGACAACCGAGCGATTTAAAAAAATGTATTTTTCAATCAAGTCACTGTCCATTGAGTCAATTCATTCAGTTTGACTACTCAATGAGTGGTGCTTTAACCTAGCACACCTTGACTTTTTCACCTTGAAGTCAGAAGAAGAGGAATGCAGGAATGCAGCTAACACCAAAAGATTAGGGAGTTAATTCAGTAGTGGATAATGTACACTTTGGATGCACATAACCTGGTTGTGTAAGAGTGACAATTACATGATTTGTCATTCCTTACTTCATGATGTACCTGAGGCTAAATTACAATGCAAGACTTTGGGAACACCTGTGAAAAGTCCTGACACCTGTACAAATAAAGGAAAGTATAAGGTACTTAGATGTCACCAGACCAATGCTCAGGACCATGCTATCAACTAGACTACACTAATTATTCGAGGCATTTTTTTTCAATCAGAATCTCCCTTCTCTTGTTTTCTCTCTCTCTACCTTCTCAGAGAGGGCCTCCTCAAGAGTGGCGAGGGCTGTGTCCGTGTTGCTGGAGTCAGTCTGTAGAGACATCACCCTGTCCCTCAGATTTCCAAGCTGTTTTTCTTTATCCTTCAGCTGTTCCATCAGATTTTCAATCTGAAAGAGAGAGAGAAGGACAAAGATAGAAAGAAAAAAGAGAGAGAGAGAGAGAGAGAGAGAGAAGAGAGAGAGAGAGAGAGAGAGAGAGAGAGAGAGAGAGAGAGAATACAGAAGTTTTTCATTTTAATGTTCCACAGTCACAGTTGCACAGTACCAAAAACACTACAATCTTATGCTCCAATCTTTCAAAAGCTATTCTGGAAGCCAAAATACAAAAAGCACAGACATCTTTGAAATATGGGTGGCAAAGCACGATTACAATCCTAATTCAACATAGCAGCATGACAGAGTACTTGAAAACTATCACAACCCTTATCGGGCAAGCAAGCGGAGATGAAATTATTTCTACGTTGCGCTCCAATAAAAGAAAACACTCAGGCCAAAAGTGCCACTCCATTCAAATATACCATAACACAGCTCTCCAGCCCAGACATAGTCATAATCCCATTCCCATAAAGAAGGCTCCGTCTGCATTCCAGTCATGGGTACATTGACAGATAATACCAAAAAATGGCGACAGCCATTTCGTAAATGAAAGAAATTAGGCCGCCCTGACTATAGCTAAATTGCTAAGCGCTGAGGGTAATGGTTGAAGGGTTTTATCTCCAAAGCTTAAGGGCACAGAATGAGTGGGAAAAGAACCCGTAGAGGCCAGAGATAACGTTGCTCCGGCATTATTACGCCACCCAGTGAAGAGTCGTTTAAAGCAAAGATGGAGTGATATGAGGCCTTCAGCCCTGAGGGACAATATGGGAACCAAAAACAGGGAGGCAGAAAGTGAGAGAGGCATATGAGTCTGACTGATAGCACGTTTTGAGTACCACTGTCTTTCTGAAATGATTTTCCCCATTGAAATAAAGTCTATGTTTAGACAATGAAGTATATCGTGCACTGTTTTATGATTTATGGTCAGACCTTAAGGTAGTGAGAAATGTTAATCTAGAACAGATTTTAAGACCAACAGATAAATGATTCTGGGCCCAGCATGGGATGGACTGGTCCACAACATCTGGAGATATTAGGTAAACAGGAGAAATGTGTCATCAAACACGTACTTCGTATACGCCTTTCCGCCTTGATGAGTTAGAGCATCATCATCAGTGCTGAAAAGGATGCTGATGAGGGGTGAAGTCTTTCCCACGCTTTTTTCCCCTAAAAGGATGAATGAATCAAATGACTTCATTCATAGTTATGTGTTACAGTAGCTTAGTAAGTTTACAAGCAACTTAGTAAGTATACAAGTTTACAACTGAACAAAACATGCAAGAAAATGAAATCACATAAATTTCCATAGAAATTAGGGTTGTGAAATCACTAGGTATTTATGATGTGATAAAGTAGGTGTTTACGTATAAGAAACAAATGTTGAACTGCAGAAGTAAGAAGATGCAGAGTCTCGTAGACACATACGTGGCCAAGCGTTTACGAGTGTGAACGTGCATCTTGCTTGGCCGTCATTTGCTCAGTGTGTGTGGTTCTCATGGGGCCTTGGAGGGCCTTATTTCAGGGCAAATTTAGCATGGTGCTCTAGCCAGCAGATAAACCGTTCCAGTCCTTCCCGCTGCTGCATTTTCTTTGGCCCGCGTGGTCAGCAAAAACAACTGCACTGCTGAAATATTTAAGCGCGCCATGCGGCCTTTGTTCCATGCAGTCGGGCGGAAAAAAAATGACGCTTGACCCCCGAAAGCATTTTGAATTTGCTTTTCAGACCGGGGAAATGGACATCGGCATTTACTGGAAGCGTGACCGGAAACTTTTTAAGCAGTCTGAGGAGAGGAGCATGTGGATTCTGCTAGATAAATACACTTGCAAGTACTTTTAGGTCTCACGTTTAAACGCAGAAGGTGATGTCCACGAAAATATGGGTCTTCATCTTAGCGTAGTGTGGTTAAAAAGAGAGACGGAGAGAGAGGGAGAAAGAGGGAGATGGACCACCTACAGCTGGAGTGCTTGGACTGTAAACTGAGCTGGCACATGATAAACATGGAGACATCTCTGCCTGCTGCTCAGGGCCAGATTGCTTCTAGCTGCTCCTCTTGCTGGTGGTGGCTTTTTACCAGGCATAGAGCGTAGCTGTTATACAGCATTTTCTCCTGCACTTTGCTCACCATTCGATTACATGAGGGCCAAACATATGAGACCAAGAAGTCATTCAAAGAATGCAAGCACAGTAATACTAACAGCACAAAACTGCTTGTGTACCTTATGTTCACAAATATGAACATATACTCTCTGCAAAAGCAATCTCAAATGAAAACACTGAAGCCAAGATTAGTTAACAAAAACATACTGAAATTATCGAAAAATTACTGCTCTTCATCTCTTTTTTCTACTCTTTTTTGGATTTTAACTATTAACAATGGCAGGATGTGAGTGGGTTTGCATGAGCCTGCTTAACTTTTCTTTTTTTTCTTTTAAAAGCTCGTCCTCAATTTTATTTAGCTTTTGTTTTTTGAGTATTTTTTCCCCCCCTGAGGTTTGTCATCGCCTCTGAAAAAACAGTTCTGTGTTGGGATAAGTTGAGATGTGCTGACCAGTGACCACAGGAACAGATCTAGCCAGTAACTGGTGGTGAATAAAACCGCCAGTCTGAGACGATGGGGATGATTGGGCGATATATGAGGACGCAGGAGAGTGCAGAGAGGCTTTTTGTGGGCTTGCCCAGGAGAGACCAGTACATTACAGTCAGAATACCCCAGAGACAAAGAGATTCACTACAGTTAGACCATTAGCACCAAGTATTGATTCAAATGCATATATAGTACAGTACTGACTGTACAAAAAAAAGACAGACAAATACCAACGAATCTTCTTATTTCTAAGTAAGTAAAATACACAGAATTGCAATGCTCTCACAATCCCACCTCTGTACAGCTGTCAGCTTTTGCCCTCTAGTGGTTTGGCTCTGGAACTACAAATGAAAAACATTCGTTCAAGTGATCAAGTAGAGAACAATGATCAACTGATGAGACAGAACAGGAAGCAGATTTTTGCGTTCTTTTAGTTGGCGTAGGTGGTCCAAAGATGAACAGCTTGTGCTACCTCCCACCTCTTCCCTTGACTGACCCGGTGTGATGTCATCCATACCCTTACTCAAAGACGAACTACTCATCTGCTATCAGCTGGAATAATGGATCCTAATGATGACTTCATAGAGAACAGAGAGATCTTAGAGCATGGCATGAAGATAAGAATGTTTGAGAGATGACAGATACAGAGAGGGCAACAGGGAGGGAGAGGCAGAGAGGGAGAGAGAGAGAGACAGAGAGAGAGAGAAATTATCAGGAGTTTGGGAAAGAAATCAGACAGGGAAAAACGGGAAAAAAAAAGAATGCAAAACACAAACACGTTTTCATATGGGGCGGCCTGTAGTCTTTCATTTCTGAACTTCTAGCGCCACATATTCATACAGTTTCAACATTTCCATTCTTTCCCTATCTTTACTGCACATTTTTCTCACAAACGAACTGCATAACCCTCCACCACTGAAATGGAAGAGTAGAGAAGCGATAGAGTCCCGCCAATAGAGGAGGGGAGTACATGAAAGACAGTACAGGAGAAGTCTTTGATATTTCATGTTCAAACAGTTATTATTTCCTCATTTGATCTTTTGGACAGGTTCAGCCATAGTGCTCTTAGATTTGTTATGAATTAGCGAACCTTTTCCATTCTCATCACTGTGATCTGTACACAGGCCAGGAGCAAATTAAGAAATGCTTTGCTATTCATCTTCATCATTTCACTTTAGCCCATGACTACACTTTGCATGAAACTCTATTTGCTTCTACAGAATGTAGTGAAACTGGGTTTCTGGCTTAGCGCGCAACTGGCCTGGAAAATGTCAAAACTCTATCATTAAATCAATTTCATTTTGGGTTTACATTTTGCGCTTTATGTATATTTGTAATTTAGTTTGTTGTTATGTGATCAAGACCTTGCTGAAAATAAGACCACAGCTTGTAGATGGTAAACTACCCAAAATAAACTGCGTAATTTTTCATCTTTTCATTACAGCTATTTCACATAAAAGAAGAAAGGAGCAAGTGTATACACGTATAATGGAGTGTGTGTGCACGTGGGCAAATGTGCAGACACATACGTGCTCCAAACCGTCTCTTCACTCCACTACACCAACAACTCAACATACTCACTTGCCCTCGCATCTGGGCAAAATGATGCCATGCTACACAGGCACATAAGAGAGTTGGTCAGAAAAAGCAGGGAGAAATCCGCAGTCCAAAACAGGAATGTCTTGGAGATGTGATTCGTTACGGACTTTCACGTGCATTTGGTAGCGATTCAGTTAACCTGTGGGCTACAGGATTCAATGTGTATTTGTGTGTGTCTCAGTACAAGGCTTTCTCTGTGTCGAAGAAATACTGGCAAAACTGAAGAAAAAAGTGAGTCCTTTGCCTCTGTGTACAAAAACGAGGAGTCTGACAAAACCAGAACAAACAAACAGGTTTAGAAATCGACTTTGGTTGCTAACTTTCTAACTTGAAACTTTTGTGACTTTATTCCCATTTATCTGAGCTCTGCTACAGCTGTGTTGCAGCTCTGACTCATCCCTAGCAAGCTCTGGGTGGACCTACATATCATGTTAATTGGGTGATTTAAAAGTTATCCAAACCATTTTAATGCATTAAAACAATTTCGCTACAGTACCAATAATTATACTTTACTTAATAATGTTTAGCACTAGGGCATTTTAGAGAGTCTACCTAATCAAACAAACTAAGGCCCTATAACTTCTACAATACAAAATCATGGAATTAAGACATAAAAATTAACTTCAGGTATAAATATGGAGATTAACATTATTTGGAGATTTAGGAGAGATTATTACAAAATTTCTGACCATATTAAATGTTTTTTTGCAATTTGTTCTTGTATTGTATGGATAATATGACTTTACATTTGCAAAAGATCCTGTCATTCTTCATGAGGGTTAGCTGGGTTAGTATAGTAATTGACCTTTGATATTAACATAATAACAA